TGAGCCCTTGTTGAATAGCTCACCTAGCAAATGGCTGTCTAATGCCAGACTGTTACAATATCAAGGACTCCTATTAGAACAGCCACACATTAAGTTTGCCACCACCACTAGCCTCAATCCGGCTACTCTACTCCTGGGGCTACTCTACTTCCGGAATCTGACGAACAAATGCCCATCCATGATTGCCTCGAGACTCTTGAAAACTTGAGGGGAAGACGTCCGGACTTGATGGACCAGACCCTCCCTCTAGCAGAGGTAACATTCTATACTGATGGGTGCAGTTTCGTTCGTGATGGTGTATGGTATGCTAGAGTGGCAGTGGTCAACAAGGACCAACAGGTGGAATGGGAGCAGGGGCTACCTCAAGGGACATCAGCACAGAGGGCTGAGCTGATTGCTTTGACTAAGGCTCTGGAATTGGAAAAAGGAAAAAGGATAAATATATTCACTGATAGCCATTATGCTTTTGCCACTACCCATGTACACAGGGAGATTTATCAAAATAGAGGGCTGTTGACCTCTGAAGGAAAGGAAATTAAAAACAAGACTGAGATATTGGCATTGCTACAAGCCATCTGGATGCCCCAAGAGGTTGCCATCATCCATTGCCATGGGCACCAAAAGGGGTCTAGCCCCCAAATAACTGGTAATAATGCTGCTGATCAAGCAGCAAAACAAGCTGCCCAAAAATCAGGGGGAAAGCAACTGGTTCTGCTACCCACACCAGTACTCCCAGAAAAACCTGAATACACAGATAAAGAGGTGGCAGAAATGAACGGGAAGCACTGGACTCAAGGAAAACATGCGTGGTGGACGATACATGATGGAAAGGTGGTACTCCCCGCCTCTGTAGTAGACACGTTGTTGCGCGAACTACATGAGTCCACCCACCTCGGAGAGAAAAGGATGATGGCTGCCCTGCGACCCCATTTTGTCAGCAAGGGGTTGGCCCAAAAGGCCCAGGACATGGTGAAATGGTGTCCCACCTGCCTCAAGGTAAATGCAAATCAGGTAACCGCCCCCCCCCGGGGGGTCTGACACAGAGGATTAACTCCAGGAGAACATTGGGAATTGGACTTTACTGAAATGAAGCCTGGCATGTATGGGTACAAATACCTGCTAGTTTTTGTGGATACCTTTTCAGGATGGATAGAAGCATACCCCACTAAGAGGGAGACAGCTGAAGT